TTCTATCGCGGGAGGCACTATTAAGTGACTTCTAGAAGATGAAAACGATCGTCCGCGATATCGCATTCGGATCGCGGAAGTGACTCCCGTCGGTAAGAAATGTGCCACTTCGGCGACACTTCTCGAAGTCACTTCTGCGACACTTCTGGAAGTGTCGTTTGAGACAAAAGCTATATTTTTAAAACGCACTAATTTGATACATAACCGCACTGTCCACAGACAAATCGCGCAATGAAATGACGCTCTGGCGAAAAATAACAGCGTGAGTCAAAAGGAAGACTCAAAAAAAGGGATAACAGAAAATTACCGCGACCTCTTTTTATCGCGTTTTTTCGCTCTAATTTTGTTTTTGTAAAATGTGTACTATCGGCTTTCTGTCGCGCAGAAGTGTCTCGGAAGTTACTTCTTCGCGACCCCAACCCTTTTTGTTTTGTAAAATGTGTACTATCGCCTTTCTATCGCTCAGAAGTAACTTCTTTGCGATCCCGACCCTTTTTGTTTTTATAAAATGCATACTATCGCCTTTCTATCTTCCGGAATTGACTTAGAAGTTACTTCTACGCGATACATGTATATTTTGTTTTTATAAAATGTGTACTGTCGTCTTTCTATCGCGCAGAAGTTATGTACTAAGAAGTGACTTCTGGAGGACAGGCGAATAATATCGCCGTTTTGCTTGCAGGGCCGGAGCCGACTCCTGTGTGTGCTGTGTTTTAGTTAGCTTCGATGATTATTTTCCGTACGTGAAGTCCAAATTTCGGTTACATTTTTGGTCTTGCACTGTGTATCAAGTCACATTCCATGGGATGGGGCCGCACCTCTCTGCTGCAAACCACTGGCTTATACTGTTAACGGCATCAACTGAGTTCAAACTGGGAAAATAGTTGCAAGGGAATGCGATTGCAATATCGAACGGTTTAAAGTCTATCGCTGGAATCAGCTGTTTTATCTCACACCACAAGGGAATTTCCCTGCGAAAATTCCATAACACACACGAGACATTTTATTACGTCAATCCTAACGAATTCACTTCCGAGCGAAAACTAGGACACTGCATAGATCTCACAAATGAGTTAACTTTTAAAACATCTTTTTAAAATTACAATCGCCCATGGGGCAATATAATCTTTCCAAGTCCGCACATTCAGCACTCACCACGAAAGCAGAATCGCCATGAAAGCAATGCTGGAGGCGCACGTGGGGTAGCTGGACAGGAAGAGGCCATGCTTGTAGTAGAAGTGAGAGACGGAGGCGGGCAGTCCGGCGGAGGATGTTGCCGCAGAGCCCGGTTCCGCCGCAGCCGCCGACGACGCAGGGGATCCGGGCGGTTTGCCGGTCAGACCGCAGCCGTTGGATGCTGTTCGCGGCGACGTTGACGCCGCTGCTGCGGCCGCCCTGGCGGATCCAGAGCCATCTGTTGCGGCGGCCATATTGTTGTTGTTGCACAGAACTTACACTTACACCGAGCTAAGCGCACACACGGGCGCTCGGACACCGTCGCACACACGAACGCTAGAGAGGAGACTCCAACCACGAACTTTGTTCTAACGCTTTAGCGGCGAATTACGAGTCAGCTTGTTTTTTTTCGCGAATTCGGATTTGCACACTTGCTTGCGGATATTACGCAACTTGGCGTTTGCAACGCTTCATCTGCGTAGGCGAAGCAGCAGCCGCCCCGATATAGCGGTATAAGTTGTGTTTATTAATAGCGCCGACTATTGGCTGGCTCCTGCTGGCGGTGATTTTGCTTTGGATCTGGGCTTGGACCGTATATCGATACATGGTCACCAGCAAACTGCCTTTTTATACCTATTGATTTTTCTTTTTCTTGCGCTTCATTCGCACCTCCTGGCCTTACGTTATTTGCGCCGTGCCGTTGTTGCACACATTAATTGACGTTTTTGCGCATCTTCGGCGTTCACTCAACACTAGGGGTCAAACATACGAGCTGTTCTTTTAAAAATCTGCAATGTAAACGTCTTCTCCGCGATTTTTAAGGCAATTAGAAGCATTTTAATATCATTTGCGAAAATGGGCTCTTTTATAGAGCGCATGTGTCGATCAACGTTGCAGGGCACAGGCAACCCGATCGGTGTGTTGCTGAACGCACTTCAGCGGCACAGGTACAGCATAAAAGCGACTATACGAGTCAGTCGATTGGCAAATAGCAACTTTAACATTAAGCACGTTTTTCTTTAGCAAACAGCAGATTTCGATTCGCGGCGCTTCGTCACTCACCAAGTGCTAGCTCGACGTGAGTCAGCGTGAGCGAACTAGTTCGTGGCCAAACCAAAACATTGAACAGCTGAGTTCCAATTTAGACAGGAAACTGCTCAGATTTCTATCGGAAGATCTATCGAACGCTTTATCAACTATTTCCATTTACTTGGCAACAGCTTTGAATAACAGCCTATTCACACAGAGGAGGATTCCGCTTTATTGACATTTTCTACCAAAAAACATACGTGTGCTAGAAAGAGAAGGGAAATTAGTCGCTACAACTTCCATCAGCGATATATGGGACCGCACACGCAAATCCATTGAGTATTTCAGGGCTCATAGTCAGTATTTTTATGAGCTTACGTTATTTTTGCACTTGGCGTTTCGAAATTTTTTTGTGAAGGAAATGCATTTTACCTACAATGGCACCGTTATAAAGAAATTTTTGTTGGTGCAGGCTTAAGGAGCCTTCCAACTGCTCGGAACCCAGCAATTGATCTCATCTTGAAAAGAAATATTGCTGTGCTTTCTTTTTTAAGAAAAAGCTTTAGCTTATTTTCCGCTTGGCAAGACCTGGCAGCTGTTGCACCAAAATACTCATTTTTATTATGCACCGACGAAAACCGCGAACTAACCATAGGAAAAAGCGAGACGCCGAGCCGCCTAGTCGCTTTTGTTCGGGTCCTTTTTTCACCGCGGTACTCAAATGAGCTTATGAAATACCATAACAATACTAGATTTCGATAGTGAATTCCCATGAACACTGTTAGCCGCCGGGCAAAGAATAAGATATTTAAACTTTCGGTGTGTTCATGCATGTTATCCAAGCTGTTGCCCATTACTGTGGGATTTGACCCTCAGGTTGCACCACCACCAGCTACTTGGCAGCGATGAAGGACGCGCCGGCTTTTATAGGGAGGAAAAAAGATGGAGCCATTATCAGGATGCTGGGCGACTTCTTGTTGTACAAGCTTCTTGTTGGAACAAGCTCGTGTTCCGCGTTCGGCTCCCGCTCCCTCAAGACCCATGTTTTCATTGTGGGAATCGGAGCTGAACTGCAGATGGAGCGGAGATGGCAAAGCATCCGTGAGACGACAAGGAAACTTTAAACATTCAATTTATTTTTAATTCAATTTCTTTGTGCACCACCAGACTAGTCTTTTTTAAATTGCTCCAATTGTCTTTGAGAACTTCAGCCACACTATAAAGAATTCCATTTTTCGACTTGTAAAACTTGCAGCAGATCTGAGTACTGGGCTTAAAGAAAACGACGTTTGAAGGCGCATCCACCTCCCAAAATTGTGTCTTACATAATGGATATGGTCAAAGAACCGTTTGCGAGGAAGGTGTTATAAATACTTAAAAGGGTCCAACGGTTCTAACTTTTGAAAGTTCTCGTGGCGTCACTCTCGGCCCACAACAGTCCCTTTTAATCTTTCACTACGTTTGTCAGAATGGATCCATGATCAATTTACTATTAGCAATGAAATAATCATTTGGCGCTGAAAATATTACACATACTATTTTTCAATTTTTTTTTTGGTGCAACTGAATTTTTACGTTCTCTTTCTTCGCATTTGATTTTCTTCAGTGATTCTTTATGTGAACAAGAATTCGCTTAAAATTGCAACTGCGGTTTGTGCAGATTATTGTTGGGTTGTTCATGAGTGCGTAAAAAAAAAAAATGTTCAATAATCTGAATGAGTGAACATGTTCCTTCCTATTTGCTCTTTTTTGTTCACTTGCTCATTGTTCGTACCCAAAGGTGCTTAACATGACCACACCCAACAAGTCAAGCTGTAGCCAAGTTGGGAACAGTACCAGGCGCTCAGTAGCACCCACTGCATATGAGAATGGCTGATCAGCATATTATATGTCTCACTAACTCACCGTCTCACCGACTCAACGGCACACTGACCGGCCAATGCACTCAGCACATTTTGCAGTGTCAGCCACTACGCAAAGTCAACTACGCAAACTGCTACCATAATCATAATTCCCCGACCTACTTTAGAATATAGCTTACTTCACTAATCATTACACTAAACTTCCGTGTTCCAAGTAGTATATAAACATGTACCAAATGAAGAATAAGTCAGTTATCAACACACCTCATAACTCCGCGGTTCTACTTCCTACCTCTGGGAATAGGGCTCGTAATACACTATCTCAACTAGCACCTAACCACGTTAGCTCTACCTCAGCGAAGTTCCGCATCGCCTGTGGTCCGGCATCGCAGTAACCATCGTAACCATTGCCGCGACGCGATCGTCCCAAAGCGTCCCCGTGCCAGCGACAAGTGCTCATTACCCCCTTGTCCCGCGGTGCGACCCAGAAGTGTCTACTTCGGTTAGGCACAAACACTCATTTTTGCTCACTGGCTCTTTTTCATTCTCTTGCTCAGTTAGAATCTCTTGCTATTGTTTGTTCACCTGCTCAGTTTTGCTCTCTTGCACTTATTTGTTAACTAGCTTTGTTTTGCTCTTTTTTGATTAGCTGTTTAATTTGGCTTAAATATCATTTGTTCTGCATTTTTGTATGAAATGAACATGTGAGCAAGATAGCAAGAGAGCCAGATAGCAAGTGAACAACTGAACAAGTGAGCAACATGAGTGAGTTGTCTCTTAAAAAAAAGAACAAGTAAACATGTTCACCCAAATGAGCATTATTTACCCAACACTAGTGCAGGGGCTATAAGCGGGTTACTTCACCGACTGACAGTTAACTTGGTGTATGTTGTCAGATCGACCGCGTATCTCAGAGTTGTCTAACTTCTGGCGGCAGATTTGAATTTTTAATTTATTTGTTGTTTGCCATAGACTTACAACTTTAGAAATCTACACTACTGTTAGTCCTAGCAGTGCTTTACCTTTTGATTTTTCATAAAAGTTAGAATCGATTTCTTTTGAACAAGTACATATATAATTTGTGTTTTTTTTTAGAAGTATAACCTCGATGAGCAGGAAAATTAGCCTTAATTGTTATTATCTACACGACTTTGTTCAACACATTCCGCTCACAATCCTCACAAGAAATCCTTCGTGTCTCAGTACGATTGGTTACGCAGCTGGTTCAAAACGTGGGCCAAAGGTCCCTACGCGGTTCGTGAATTGACGGGCACGATAGACGCAGTAGACAATTGTCAGTGCTATCGCCTTTACTGGTTACTAGTCTATCTTGGTCGTCGGCATAGTGTACTCCGCTAGGGACGCCAAGTCGCCCGCGTTATGCGGATGACCTTCGTCTGCCGACTCCTGGTTGCTAAAGCGATGCCGCATGGTCACGTCTCCATGCGATGCGTATTCGGTCGGAGTCAGCGTGTTCTGACCCACCCCGCTCCTCGCCTCCTGTAAGTCACCCGATCCCTTCAGGCTGCACCGGCGACCAAACAGCAGCACAGTGCCCTTGCTCAACAGCGGACACAGCAAAGTCTGGTGGCAACAGGCGAACAGACGGTAGTTGGGGCCCTGGAACGGATCCGACATCGCTGCACAGAGCATGTGGTCCAGGTTGATGCCAGTGAACTGTAGAGAAGGAGGGGGGTTTTAGTGCCGGAAATATTACTGTCATAAAACACACATATGATGTATATATGATACGTACACCAAAGATAATACCCTTCAGTTCCAAAAATCAATTTTAGCGCGTGAATCAACTGGTGAATCACAGGTGAAGTATCAGATGTCACGAGTGATGCACGCGTAACACTTCATAAAGTCATTTGTATGGGATGTTTGCTTTTTCACTCGTGACTGTTCATATACAAATTTTACGAAGTCTGGCCTGGTTTCACGTGTGCCTTATACGTACTTTCCGTATGGGCCGTCACCTCGTGACACGCCACACGGTAAATCAATCGTGAATATCAGAATATGTCGGATGAGATGTCCCCTATGAAAATAGAGAATATTTTCTTCACCGTGTCACATTTGTCATGGGTGAATTAATGTATGACATTTTTTACAAATTATTAATAATTTCATTTCCAAAAAAAAATGTGGTAATACTCTAGTTTACGGTCTTCACCCTCAAAATTCGCGAAAAAATTATCTTCGACGGACCGCGAGTTCTTAAGAATTTACATGAAGAAATAAAAGCGCGGTCTGCCATGGTTTTCTTGTAATCGAATTTAAAGTAACGTGTTTTGCTATAAAAATAAAGTATCCTATTTACGACTTCCTTTACAAATATATTTTCTTTTAAATGATTTATTATAAAAATCATGAAGGCTTTTGAATTTTTGAAACGCAACTACAAAATGTTTTTGTGCGAGTCGTGCAACGTTACTTTCAAGAGTTTCCTTCCTGAAGAAACACAAATCCCACACCACATTAATTCACGGCATCTTCACAGCGATAGCCAATTTATACAATCCAAAGATAAAATGATTTGATGTATGTAAAAATTAGGCATAAAATAAAAAAAAAATGTCCGCGATTTTTTTTAAATTTATGACAAATTTGTTTTGGTCGATTTTTATTAACTTTTACGAACTTTTTTTTTTAATTTTTTTAAACATACATCAAATATATTCATGTAATTATTAAAAATTAGGCATAAATTAAAAAAAAAAAATTGAACCGGAAATGTTAATGATTAAAAAAAAAACCATACGAATTAGAAAGTGTATTATTTAATGCTTTACAGATTTAGATAAAATTTGTCTGCTATCTCGACCTTTTTATAGATCGCGGTCCATGGTTCTTCAGACTCGCTTTGAAAAGTTGGTCATCGATGGTCACGCGAATTCTTAAGGAATCGCGGTCCATCTAGGATATTTAATTAGCGGCTGTGGGGCCTGGCCTGCTACAAAAACAATTACACATTTTTGGCGTATTATTTAGAATGCTTATTATTTTGACATGGGATAAAAATCCCTTGTTTTTTATAGCAAAACTTTGAAAATCGTACAAAAGGCTTTGAAATTCGATTACAAGAGAACCATGGCAGACCGCGCCTTTATTTCTTCATGTAAGTTCTTAAGAATTCGCAATCCGTCGAGGATAATTTTTTCGCGAATTTTGGGGGTGAGGACCGTAAACTAGAGTATTACTTTTTACTTTTTTTTACTTTTTTTTATAAAATAAAATACATACATATTTATATTAAATTAATATTTATTGTATTTTTTTATAAAATTGTGTTATTTAGGTTTTCCAATAACGTACAATTATTGTTAAAAAGATTTGTTTTTCGTTTGTTTTTAATGTTAAACTCGAAGTCAACATCAAAGCATTACAATGTCCCAGGGAACTTTCAGTGATTTTTTCGCCGTGTTTCGAGAAGTTCCCCAGGGTGTAGGCAACTGTCGCGTTGCATGTTGCCTTGTTGCTGCTATTACTGCAGCACAGCTCCGCACAGCATTTAACCACTCAGGCAGCAGGGCAACAAGGCGGCCAGGCCAGAGCAGGCCAAAACAGCCAACGGCCAACAGGCAACATCCAACGGCCAACAGGCAGCAGCCAAACTGCCAGACAGCCGGGTCAAAAGCTGGGCCATGCGATGACAAAACGTGCTGAGTTTTCGTAATTAGTGCACAAGAGTGCAGCCCGATGGCCACGTGCAGGGATTTCCAGGGGTGTTCCGGGCTCCAAGGGGATTTTCGGGGGATCTGAGGACCCAAAACACTCTCCAGCCGCCGGGGCACGTTTGTGTGGGACCGGTGGAGCTGGCTTTTCGGCCTTTTAGAGTGTGACATGGCAATGGTAGTGCCTGCGTCATCTATCGCCTCCTTTTGCGATGAGGAGTGTGTGTTCCTGTTTCTTTGCAGTTGGCTTAAATAAGTTCGCCTTCCTTAAACATTTGTCCGGGTCCTCTGAATCCTTGACCATCGGGCCTTAAAAAAATGTAAGGGTATATGTTTAAAAAATGTGCTTTACTTGTATATTTTTATATTTACCTTTTAGAGCTGTGTATAACCCTTTACGGGATTTTAATTGGCACAAAACATTTCTTCATGCCACTTTCAGCTAACGGAACTAGAATTTTCTAGGCTAGGCCTAGTACTTACATCAACGAACGAGCTAACCATAGGCGAGCTAACCATAGGAGTAAGCGAGGATACGCCCGGAGGGATGTCCATATAGCGAGCAAAGTCAAACTTGGCATATTTCCCTGATTGCTCTGTTGTGGTAGTGCTTCCTACCGGTGAAGTCCCACAATAATATGCCACAGTTTGGAATAGGCGTCTTTTTTCATCTGCACTGACCTCCTGCAGTCGTTTTTTGGGTTTTCTTTCCTATTTTTATTTTTAGTTTTCACGCAGTTTTTGCACGAACACCGCCAAAGATTAAATTTCTTATTTTTTGGGCCATTTCATTGAAATTCACTTGCTATATCAGGTATTTTTTCTGGTATTTCCTTAGCTCATCTGAGTACTGCGCTGAAAAACAGATCCGACGAAAAGCGATGGCCGCGTGTTTTCCTCTCAGCTACTGCTATGGCTAGCTCGCGGTTTTCGTCGATGTAAGCACTAGGCTTAAAAATTTACGTACGTTAAACTAAGGTCATTGGACAACATCTTAAACTTAATGTAACATTTACCTGGCTTTTGTTTTCAAAATATCACTAACAAAATCAATGTGTTTCTCTGCGCACGATTCAAATAGCCTGCTTCTCTTTTAATAACTCAAACAGAATGCACCAAGTCTTCTCACCCCTTTACTTCATTTCTTTTGTTTTATTTTCGCTGTTGGCGCGTGCCACTGCTCCTATACCCTTTCCAAAGCGAAACTAATCGGGCTATAACATTTTTACTTCTTGAGTAAAAACACAATATGAATTTTTTAAGAATGTTAATATTAAAATTACATTGATATAGTAATGTATAATTCCAAAACATAACATGATTGGTAAATTTAATAAACTTAATTTTACTATGATTGAAAAATATAAAAATAAAACAATATTAGTTGTTTTTTTCGAAGTACAATAATTCTTCTAAAATCTTACGGCATTCACATGTCGCTGCGCCAGAAAAATTTTTCCGCCAAAAGTTTGTTCTCTAGCTGGACGTAACGGACGTAACACAAAATAAAAAAAGGGAGGACGCTATATACGAGTACCTCGACTATGGGATACCCGTTACTCAGCTAAATGGACCAAAGGGAAATGGAGATATGCAAGCAGTAAAGCGAGATTGAAATGCGCCACCTACCTCCGATCTCAATATATGGTTATGTGGGCAGTAGACAGATTTAGGCGTTAGAGTAGGCGTGGCAAACTTTTTTTGGGTCAATCGATAGGTATTTACGATACTATTTCATTTCAGTAAACTTTAACGCGTGAATCAACTGATGAATCACAGGTGAAGTGTCAGCTGTCACGAGTGATGCACGCGTAGCACTTCATAAAGTCATTTGTATGGGATGTCTGCTTTTTTACTCGTGACTGTTCATATACAAATTTTACGAAGTCTGGCCTGTTTTCACGTGTGCCTTATACGTACTTTCCGTATGGGCCGTCACCTCGTGACACGCCACACGGTAAATCAATCGTGAAAATCAGAATGAGATGTCCCCTATGAAAATAGAGAATATTTCCTTCACCGTGTCACATTTGTCATGGGTGAATAAATATATGACATTTTTTAAAAATCAGTAATAATTTCATTTCCAAAAAAAATGTGGTCATACTCTAGATTATAGTCCTCACCCTCACAATTCGCGAAAAAACTATCCTCGACGGACCGCGAATTCTTAAGAATTTACATAAAGAAATAAAGGCGCGGTCTGCCATGGTTTTCTTGTAATCGAATTTCAAAGTAAGTAAGTAAGTAAGTATTGAATTTTTATTTTTATTTTTTTTTAAACATACATCAAATATGTTCATGTAATTATTAATAATTAATAATTAACTAGGCATAAATTAAAAAAAAAAATTGAACAGGAAAAATGTTAAGGATTAAATAAAAAAGAACATACGAATTAGATAGTGTATTATTTAATGCTTTACAGATTTAGATAAAATTTGTCTGCTATCACGACCTTTTCATAGATCGCGGTCCATGGTTCTTCAAACTCAAAAGTTGGTCATCGATGGTCACGCGAATTCTTAAGGAATCGCGGTCCATCGAGGACATTTAATTCCAATTTTCGGTCTTTTATACATAGTTTCCGGACGGGCAGACGAACATGGCTAGTTTTATTCGCCTAGTGATCCTGATCAATATTATACATATGTATGTATATACCTTATAGGGTCAGAAAAGCTTCCTTCCACTGTTTACACCACAGATGCGGCTTTTAACATTTGATTGAGTAAAAAACTTACATTAAATTGAAAACTAGCGTATTAACTTGCTTTGGCTGCGCTGCGGGATACCTCCATTGTTTTTTTCCATCTTGGATAAATCACGTTATTACAACATAACTACTTGCAGAAGCATGCTGCATCGAAGCTTAATAATTCAATATAAATACAGTTTTTATAAAATTGGACAACCCTGCAGTTACACAATTGAGCACAAGCACCCAATCATCACGAAGTCGACTGCGACGTCTGCAGAGCATCAAGCGTCGTCGGCAGAGCCAAGTGTAACGGATGCAAAGTAGACGGGCTCTCAGTCGGGGACCGCAAAAAGAACGCACAAAAAGTACGTGCAGTACAGTTTTGATGCTAGAATAAAAATTTTAATTGTCCCCATCAATACCTATCGATTAACAAGTTTGTTACGAGAATATGCCACGCCCACTTTAACGCCCACAAACCAGTGGTGCCCACAATTTTCACGCTAGAGAAAATATTATAAATGAAATGTATTAGTCTTGTCAATACCTATCGATTGATCCAAAAAAAATTTGGCACGCCCACTCTAACGCCCATAACGCTTAAGCCGATCTATCGCCGGTAGGTGGCGCATTTCAATCTCGCTTTACTGCTTGCATATCTCCATTTCCCTTTGGTCCCTTTAGCTGAGTAACGGGTATATGATAGTCGAAGTACTCGACTATAGCGTTCTCCCTCTTTCTTTATAAGTTTTACAACTAAATTAAATAGTCACCGAAAACAACAATTTTAAATTTCTTCTACTTTTTTAAATATTTCTCATATTTTTAGACAAAGCTGATGGTAAATCTATTAAAAAATGGTAGGCTAAGTCACTAGCCAAGTCGATCTAGCTATGTCCGTCTGTCTGTTCTTCCGTACAAACGCTGTGATCTCGGAAACTACAACAGCTAGAAAGTTTGGATTAGGCATGCAGATTCTTGAGATTATTACGCAGCGCAAGTTTATTTCAGCAATGTGCCACGCTTTCTCTAACCCCTAAAAACGATCGTTAGCATTTTAAAAAACTTTAAATGCGAGTGTATTCTTATTATCAATACCCATATACATGCTATGACATTATTGTAATCAGACGATTCATTTTAAAGTTATAGCCAAATAATAATCAATATTTTGCAAAGTCAATTGAGACCGAACACCACATGCAGAAAACAGATTGTTTCACTGATTGTTGAGGCTTTCACTAGTTGGGGCTTTAGGCTTGGTGACGCTAGGATGGAGGAGGTGGCGCAAGGTGGCGTTATAGGTGTCCTAGTGAAAAAAGCAGATATGCTGCAAGCATATCTTCATCCCCCTCGCACTCATTTTAGCTGGGTAACGGGTATCTTATAGTCGATGCCATAGACACTGGCGTTTTCTTTTTGATTTTTTTTTCAATTTGGCGAAAAAATTAGCAAGTATCCGAAAATTAAATTAGGTTGCCACGCCCACAAAGTTTTCATGCTAGAAATTTTTACTGAAATGTATTATTCCGACCTTATAAACTATATATATTCCTGATTAGGATCGCCAGACGAGTCGATCTAGACATGTCCGCTTCTGTCTGTCCGTCCGGATGAACGCTAAGATCTCGGAAACTAAAAAAGCTAGAAAGTAGGAATTTGGCATGTCGATTCTTGAGCACATTTTTGAATTTTTTTTTTTAATGATTTAAATGATATTTTGTTTTGATTATCAATGTCCAACTGTGTCCAAAATAGGTTCAATTCGGGCCATTCATTAAACCGTTATAATCAAATAAAGTGTGCAATGTTCGAAACAGACGCTTTGCTACTTTTATACCTCTGTCTCCTTCACACTACCTGAGTGCTCCCAGCACACTTAGCTGAATATCGGGTATCTGATATCTATTGCAAGTGCGGAGGGTCATTGTTTTGAGACATTGTTTCTTTGGTAACATTGCTAGGTTTACGTTCCCCTCCACGATTTACCACTTTTTTGAGCCCACACAAAGCGACCCACCCTAATGCACATAAATATAAATATGTCGAGAGAATTAATAATATTAATATTTAATGTAAAATAAAACCAATGTAACGGAGAGAAACCTGTCAACACAAATAAAGAGTAAAGATAAAGAAGTGTGACCTTCTAATACCACTTAAGGGTTTAAAAGCGTGGCTAGTTTGGAACTCACCTTAGCCGAGTGTGGCGCAATTGTTGTTGTAACAAGGAGAGTGAAATTAAGGGGAGTAGAGAATGAGTTAAAAGAATGACAAGTGACTACAGAATGACAAGGACACGATAGAGTTGTCCAGAGAAGAAAAGTGTTTAGATTTCATTCTTTCGAAAACCTTCGAACGGGCAACAAAAGCAATTGCGACTCGCTGCGGATCTTAGTAAGAAAACCCAAGTGAAAGGAAAATCATGACGGATGAATCAACTCGCGAAGCGGCGAAGAGACCCCTATCTCCGACATCAGAAGTGGGATCCCCATCGCCACAAGAACATTCTGGCGTTGCAGGCGATTTTAGAGACACAAAACCCAAACTTCCTTAGGTTGCTGAATAATGTGCGAACAACATCGGCTGCAGCCTCGCAAAATATTTCGGTGACATTGCCTTTGTTTAATCCTGATGTGCCTGGGCCGATGCCGCAGCGTGGTGTAAAACCGTGGATATGATCATATTGTAACGTGCAACCTTATGTAGCACAGTATTTTACACAGATCTGTCCTCGCGGGGCACGCTATAGTATCCGGCTCTAGCTTGTCGGCTTTGGGGGGTGGAGGTCTTCCTAATCCAGATCTGCTACTTGCCTATTATTATTAATCAAGAAATTAATTAAATAATTACTCCATGGTTTCGTTTAAATTCATTTTAATAATCCAAATTAAATTTCAGGCCTATGTTGCCAGGGCGGGTTACTCCCTTTTCCCCATTGGGAAAAGACATAAGTGGAATACAATTGCAAATGTCAATAGCCGAAGGGAATAAGAAGGGGCTATGTATACTATCGATATCTAATTACCCTAAAAAAAATACCAATAGTTCGTTCTCCATAAACAGATATAATTATTGGGTGCGGATAGTATGAGGTAATCTTAAGTTTTAATAAGGGGTCTTAATATATATAAAATGTAGAGAAATTTCATTGTTGATTCCATAGATAAGTTTCTACTCTACAAAGGAAATATCTTCTATTGTTTGGTTCTAACTGTTGTTCCTGTTTTTTTCCTCAGTGTATTCACAGCTTAATTTTATTTTATTTTTTTTTCTTCTCTATTATTATTAAAATTATTATTATTTATTTATTTATATTTTTACAGTACTTCTACAAAGGAGATGCGTTCGGCTTTAGGACTACTGTTGTTCATATAAATCTCCAATTTAATCAGCTTTTAAGGGTGTGCATGTTCTCTTTTACTTTTGTTTGACCATTTTTTTATTAAACATTGGATTCGAATGCCGAGTATAAATTAACCAAAAATATACAATTTTGTATTAACTCACTTGGTGTATTCTCCACGACGAAAGATCGATCTCCCGAGCGGTGACTGTAAAAGAATAGCGACTGTGGTTCGCAAAGGGTTAAGTAAATACAGAGCATTCACATGTTTTAGTCAACCACCTATTTTTTTTAACTAATAATTCCTAAAACCGAACCCGTACATGATTATATTTTTCTTTCTTTCGTTCGGTTCTACCTACGCCTATATTTTCTGTTCCTAAAATAATTTTATCTTACTTAATATTTTATTTTTGTTGATGAACGCATTGCAGCCGTTATTTAATTTTGAATCTTATTCTCTTTGGTATATGAAATACTAACTTTTGCCCTTTTTAATGTATTTTGGTGCTGCGTCACACTTTAGAGATTTTTTAGGACTTAGTGTTAAGACTACAACGGAAGGCATCGGACACACAAGAAAATGTGACAAATTTAATCATTGAAATACAGTCCACTCAAATTGGGAAATAAAACGTTTTTATTCTGCACCATATCTTTGGTCCTTCTAGCCAAATTTAGTTACTGATTAACATGGATCAGTTTAAACTTTTGAAGGCAGCTAGAAGCCGTGCGAAGGCAAGCATTACGCGTTTGCTAACGGCGTCTCAAGATCCACGTGCGGGATCAAAATGGGAGCTTAATGAAATACATGTTTCATTGGAAAGGCTCAACATCGTCTGGAAAGAATTCGAGTCCATCAGCGACCAACTGGTCCTTTTTGACGAAGAGGAAGGGTACGTCGATCCAGCCATCGACAACGAAAGGTACGAGGACAAGTACTTACAAGCAAGCACATTATTTCGCAACCTCATACGCACCTGTGAAGAATCGCAAGAGAATGAAAGAGAAGGCAATAACTTCAGACAATCTGGCAACCCTGATGAGGCCGCATCAACGGCATCAGGAGTGGGAAACGAAAACCTAGTTCGTTTTCTGGAACAACAACAACAGCTCAACGAGCGTTTGGCTGAGCAACAAGCAACGCTTTTAAGGGCAAACTCGGCAGCAAATGTAATGCATAATGAACTGCCAAAAATCCATATCAAGCTATTCACTGGCGACTACAAGGAGTGGCCAGCCTTTAAAAACATCTTCGAGAGTACGATCCATAGCAAGCAGCATTTGACAGCAATACAAAAGTTGCACTACTTGAAAACGTACATCACTGGCGAAGCAGCTGACTTGATTCGACATATGCCAATAACGGATGCAGCTTACGAGGCTGCTTGGACTTGCCTAATTGATCGGTACAATAGACCACGTCACATTGTTAACACTCTGCTGGAGACATTTGTTAACTTACCTTCGACCGCCAGAGCAGATGTAACGGTTCTGCGCAAGGTGACGGACGGAGCCACCGAAATTGTACGCGGACTGGATGCAGCAGGGCAAACTAATAGGGACTGCTGGATTATACACTTCATCCTAGCCAAGATCGATGCTGAAACCCGTCGCAAATGGATCGAAGGAAGCCGGGAACTGGAATCTCCGTCTGTGGATGATCTACTCAAGTTTTTAGACCGACGTTGCGAGGAATTCGAGCTCAGCAAAAGTGAGCCAGACATAGACTCCAAGGTTGGCCCACAACATGGCAAGGCAAAGCGATCGTCACACGCTTTAGTATCGATGGAGGCAAACACTTGTGTGAAGTGTAACTCGAAGGAGCACAAGATCTACGCCTGCTCAAAGTTTGGTGAATTGTCAATCGAGCAGAGACGCACATTTGTTAAGGCAAAATCACTGTGTTTTAACTGCCTTAAGCCTGGGCATGTGTCGCGAAAGTGTGAATCCAAATTCACATGCAAGTTTTGCCACAATCGTCACCACTCTCTGCTACATGCAGACATTCTTGGTTCGCAAGCCGCTGTCGCTGCGACACACTCACGAGATGATGAAAGACACATCCCAAGCGCTCCTGAAGATGCTACCGTCACCATCAGCCATATCGCACAGGCACAAGTGGCTTCCACAGCTGAATCCTTGTGCAACGGATCAACAACCGCAACACAGCCAAAAGGGCTACGAAAAAGTGCATTGCCAACAGCTCTAGTATTTGTAAGAAACGCAACAGGATCGCACACTACCTGCCGGGTGCTTTTGGACAGTGGTTCGGAACTGTCGTACATCTCCGAGCGGTGCGTACAGGCGCTCGGACTGGCACGCTCACCGTCACGAATCTTGGTGACCGGAATCTCATCAATCAAGGCTGAGACAACTAGAGGCTGCAGCACACTGGACTTGCAGTCAAGGATCTCTGATCACACAATGAAGGTACGTGCTCACGTACTCAGCAAAATTACCTCCACGTTGGCAAGACACGATATCGCCGCCTCAGCACTCAAGGCATTCGCTGGCTTTGAGCTTGCGGATTCTGACTATCAATCGTTGGCGCCAGTTGATATACTCCTGGGCAGCGACTACGTTTGGACCGTATTCACCGGTCAAAAGATGTTCGACAACCAGGGCAACATCATCGCCATTTCGACCATATTTGGATGGGTCATCACATCTATCGTTACTACCGGATGTTCATCTACAACAACAATGCACACGGCTATTGACATTGACGAATCGCTAAGACGCTTTTGGGAGCTGGAGGATGTCAACCAGGAATTCCATGGGAAACCGGAGGACGATGAAGTTGAGCAGCACTTTGTGAAGACGCACACTCGGGACCCTAAGGGGCGTTACATCGTCGAACTTCCGTTCAAAACCTCCATGGAACAGTTTTCGGGTACTTTACAGGGAGCGCTAACAAGATTCAGGGGTGTAGAGCGCCGCCTAAAGAGAGACCCCAATCTGCATTCACAGTACGTACAATTTATGCGTGAGTATCTTGAGTTGGGCCACATGCGAGAACTATCGCCAGAAGACATTGACAAAAAGCCAAGCTTTTACTTGCCACATCATCCTGTAATTACCCAAAAATTACGCGTCGTATTTGACGGCTCATTCAAGGACACGAATGGACGGTCCTTAAACGAAGCTCTGCACATTGGACCCAGCATTCTACGAAACCTTTTCTCGATTTGCATGCGTTTCAGAATGTTCAAGTTCGTCTTCTCAGCAGATATTGTCAAAATGTATCGACAAATCTGGGTGGCTGCCAACCATTGTGGCTATCAGCGAATTGTTTGGAGAGAAGATGAAACGACTCCTATTAAACACTATGAACTGTCCACGGTAACATACGGCACATCCTGCGCACCATTTTTAGCAGTGAGGGTCCTGGATCAGTTAGCCCACGACCATCAACACGACTTTCCTGCAGCTGCAAGGATCTTGAAGGAGCAGTTTTATGTGGACGACGTACTGACCGGAGCACATACCGAGGAGGAGCTCATTCGCAATCAAAATGAGTTGATCCAGTTGATGAAATGTGCAGGCATGGAACTTGGTAAATGGGTTTCCAATTCACCACTTGTCGCTGACAGATCTCTTGCTTCAACCGAAGTACAAGGCAAAGGATCCAATTCTACAGCAAAAGTTCTTGGCATTCATTGGGATCCAGAAGAGGATATGTTATCCTACAAAGTTTGCCTCACAACAAATCCGCACAACACCAAACGCCAAGTGTTGTCAGATGTGGCACGCATCTTTGACCCGCTGGGTATTCTGTCGCCAGTGGTAGTGCAGTTCAAAATTCTGTTCCAAGAATTGTGGCTACTCGATCTCGGCTGGGACACGGAGCTTCCTCCAAAAATTGCGGACTGGTGGAATAAATGCCGTAACGACCTACACTTCCTTCGAGATCTACGCCTGCCACGATTTGTCCAAAACAATGAAGATCACATCGAACTGCATGGATTTTCAGATGCATCCATCAAGGCATATTCCGCAGTCATCTATAGCAGAGTGGTGCGAGCAGATGGCACCGTATCAGTTTCACTCATTGCAGGAAAAACCAGAGTTGCTCCGCTGAAGCAGCAGTCTCTACCACGTCTCGAACTGTGTGGCGCTTTGCTACTGAGCCGACTGTTCTTATCAGTCAAGGCTGCGCTACAACACAAGGACATTGAAGTGCATGCATGGTGCGACTCAACCATAGTCTTGGCCTGGCTTTCACATCCACCATCTAAGCTTAAAACATTTGTAGCCAACAGAACCTCAGAAATTCTCGAAGCCTTACCGCGCAACGCATGGCATCATGTAAACACAAAGGAGAATCCGGCGGACTGCGCCACACGAGGAA